GTTAAACACCGACCCCTCTGAAGCAACGTGTTTTAATGATTTCTGGTTTTAAAGCTCGTGAAAATAACAATAATATTAATAAAACCCATAAAAACAAGACTTCCAGTCATCTCAAGGGCTCCCTCCTGAGTTTGAAAAGCCGAACGGACGGAGGGAGCACGCCCCCCCCCCCATTAAGGTGATGAGATTTCCAGCACCTTTGGTCTCAAAAATCCCTGCCAGGGCAGCACCTCCCAATTCCGGGCTGTCTCCTTCCCCACCTTGGGGAGGGGGCATCGCCAGAGACCCCCCCACGAAAAAAAAAATAATGCAGGAGGGATTAAAGCCTACGGAATTTTCTATTGCTAATATGTGATTTACATAATTTCTCCAGCGTTTACAGCCTCCTGCTAAAACTTTGCATCGGTTTCCCTTAGGAACTGGGAAAAAAAAATTTAAAAAGGTTTAAGAAAAGTTAAGTATATAAAAAAAAAAGATTTAAAAGAGTCCGTCTTGCTTCCTGTCCTTTAGATGTGAAGAAACAGGGTGGGATTTTCTTTTAAGGGGGGAGGTCTCCGGTGGGACAGAGGAGCTTTCTCGAGATGGGGACAGAAGCTGGGACAGGTGCTGTCCCTCCGGCCCTGCTGCCATCAGGATCTGAAAGAAGACAAAAAAAAAAATCAAGAAAAACCCCAGGATTTAGGAAAACATTTAAAACCATTATTTCTGAGGGAGGGCAGGAGGGTTTCTTTAGAAACAGCTTCGTTCTTCCCCAAAATAACAAGGAAATTTGATCGAAACACCCCGAAAAGCAGTGTGACGCCAACCCCCACCTCCACCGCTGGCCAAATCCAGCTGGTTTTTGGATGAAAAGGAGGGAAAAAAGGAGGCGACCCCCATCTCTGTGGGTTTTTTTTTGCCAAGGGAAGGACAGAGAAGGACAGACGGATGCGGCTCCTTACTGGGAAATCTTGCAGTTGGTCGCGGCAACGTAGCGGCCCGTGTAATGGATGTTGCACCTCACCACGTTGTTGGTGAAGTCCGACTCCAGGACGATGTATTTGGGGTTCACTTGAACCTAAAAACGAGGGAAAAGGGAAGGAAAAAAAACCAGAAAAAGGAAGGAAAAAAAACCACAACCCCCCCCCCCCCCCAAAAAAAAAAATTAGGAACAGGTAGGGACAGGGGGATGGGCAGCCCCTAAACCCACAGTAAAAGGGATGGCACCAAAAAAAGGTGAACCTGATGGTTGAGAAGATCCCAAGTCGACCCCAAATGGGTAATGTTTGTCCCTAAAAATCCACCCCCCAACCCCCAATGACCCCCCTGGCCACCTTTAAGACATAATTCCCCGGCTGCACGTCCGTGATGTCGATCCACTGGCAGTCGATGTCGGCGTTGTAGGTGTCGTAGCACCCCGGGCTCAAGCCCTGCGGGGACAGGCACAAAAAAACAGGGATTCAGGGTGGGATGGGGGGTGATGAACCCGAAGGAACCCTTCGAGCATCCCCATCTCCCCCAAAAATAAAATAAAGCCACCTGGGTGTGGGCAGTGCAGGCGTAACGCTTCAAGTTGCCGAAGTCGCAGGTGGTGTCCTCCAGGCAGAAGCTGGCCTTGTGGCCCTCGGCCCCCTTCCGCCCCGTGGTGGCATCCAGCAGGTCGTAGTGGCTGAACTCATCCATGCTGTGGTAGTGCCTGGGGACACGGTGGGGACACCACGCCAAGTCAGGGTGACCCCTCCACCCGAAACGGTGATGTCCCCACCAACCCAAGGTCCACAGCAGCTTGCCAGCTCCCTCCCCGGGGACATTTTCCCCCAAAAAAGGGGGAAATGCCATGAAAAGAGCCTTAAACTGCCACGAAAGGGAGGGTTGATGGAGGGGATACACTCACTGGTGGCAGCTGTGCCACTCCCAGCTGTGGCGGGGCCGGTTGGGCAGGAAATCGGCCGTCCCTTGGTTCTTCACCCGCTGGGGAAAGCGCAGGAGCACCCGCACGTCGTAGTCGGTGGCTTCGGGGGTGTAGGCGGGGGTGGGGGCATCGGGG